AATCTATTACATTTGAAGAAACTGCCAAGCTTTTTCTTAACAATATCTATTGATATTATGGATTGTCGAAAGATATTATATCGGATAGGAAGACTTAGTTTATATCAAGATTTTGGAGAATTCTTTTTACCATTTCAAAGGTGGAAATAAAGCTTTCTTCAGCTCTTTATCCTCAAATTGATGGACAAACAGAGGGCGTAAACTAAGTTTTAGAGCAATATTTAAGGTGTACCATCAATTATCAACAAGACGATTGAAAAACCTTCTTGTAATTAGTAAAATTTACTTATAATAATACGATGCATTCTTCTATAGAATAAATACCATTCTTTGCCAATTATAATTACTATCTATAACTTGATACTTTTAACTTTTCAAAAATTGATAATCTTGTGGCAGAAGGTTTGGCAAATCATTTGTTAGAGCTACATGCAACAATGAAGATGCAATTAAAGGAAGCTCAAGAATGAAAAAAGATCAACGCAGATGCCTATTGAAAAAAACAACCATAATTCAATGTAGGTGATAAGGTATGGTTGCTTTGTCGTAATATCAAAACTACTCATCCTTATGATAAGTTGGACTACCACAAGCTTGGACCTTTTCCTATTTGTAGACAAATCAATCTAGTTGCTTATTGATTATATCTATCGGAGTCAATGAAGATCCATCATATCTTCTATATGTCCCTTCTTGAACCATATAAGACTATGAACATATCAAGAAGAAAACAAACTCTACCTCCTCCTATAGAAGTAGACAATAATGAAGAGTTCAAAGTAGAAGAAGTTCTAGACTGAAGGCTGCACCGAAATAAATTGGAATATCTTGTCCATAGGTATGGATAAAATATTAATGAGAGCACATAGAAACTAGTAAAGAATCTTGCAAATGCACCAAAGGTGGTGGAGGCTTTTTATTGATGACATCCATCAAAATGAAGTTGAAGAATAGTAAGTCTTTGCTATAAAAGAAACAAGGTCCAAGGAAGATTGCATTCTACCTTCTATCTTTCTCTGTAGCTTCTGTATATTTGTGACACTGAAGAGATGGAAAACCAACAACCAATAAATTCAACTCAAGAGCTTTTATTTGTGGATTTATCAAATGAGATATTGCGATTGCCACAATCTTCAAGATGATGAAATCAACATGAAGATCCTCAAGAATGATATGTCTTTCTTTGAATAGACAGCGAGATACAATGTGTTTGGTATCATAACCTTAAAAGAGTCTCTTGATGTTTGGTGATTTTATTAGAGGTATGAACAACTCCTGATGGTGTTTCAAATATTTTATTTGAAGGACGTTACAAAGGCCTCAACAACGACCAAATAACAAGGTGGTCTTTTCACCTTGGTATAGAACACTATCAATAGCTAAGAGGGCCTATCAACTATCTTTGAAGAGAACAAAGATTGGAGTATGTAGCAAATACAATTTGCCACATCTTGGATTTCCTCAACATATGAAAACTGCTCCTCATAGAACTCGTCTTTAGAAGGAGAGATAATGTCATGGATATACACATGTAGATCAATAATTAACTATATGATTTAGATAATAATAGATAAAAGTAGGTTAATTCCATAATATCTTTTATAGATGCTACATAGATGTTGCTTTGACTTTATATGTGTCTTTAATTGATTTTTTAGGTTAGAAACGTGGTCAATAAGTTGGCCATGTGCCACACATATTGGTAGCTTGAAGAACAAGCTAACTATGTGGTCATACATAGAAAACTTGTCTTGTAAGCTAAGGCATGTGTTTTGCAAAGTCAACACATATTAGAGGTCCTATTGAACATTGCCATGTAGCTCTTAGTTAAATAGTATATATAGAAGCAAGAGTGAAGGCTTTGTCACTCTTGTCAACTCTTTTCTTGCTTCTAGTCTAAATTTAAGAGTCTCTAGTTTCTTTGTCTTTTGGCAATAGTCATTCTAATTTTCTTTTAATATACATATTACTTTATTACTATTTTATAACTTTTCTTTTAACATGGATTTTTCATGTTTATGCATCTTCCAGTTCATGTCTTTGACACCTATTGCAAGATATTTAAAATACATAGAAACTTTAAATTAAAATCTACTCTCTACAATTAAAACAAATAGATATCCCATATTGAACATATAAAAATAAGAATTTATAACTTAAACAAAATAATAGGAGAGAATTACAACAAAGAGAAAATAAAATCTTCTCATATTACCAATTCTTAATAAAAAGTTAGAATAAATTGTCAATGTTATCACAAGATATCTATTCCAAAAAACAACAAAATAAAACAAAACAAAGTTTAGAAAGACCACTTCTTGATGTACATTGCTTTAGAAGACATGGTTTTGGAGCAAGCAACTACTGAATCATCCAAAACCCAAAAAATATCTCTTGGTGGATATTGTGAATTAGGTATCCAGGTTGGTTTTGAAATGCCTTCCCAAATGCCTCCCATTCCTCTTAAAGCTGGATGCCCTCTTCTTTGCTCCTAGCTCCACAGCCATGGGTTTACTTGTTGTAGTTCTGTCACTCTTTGGAGAGATTGTGCTTCCAACTTACGGAACATCCCTCAGTCATTCTGTGCCATCCCTAATCAATCTTCCTGTAAACTTGTTGCAAAAATGTGAATGGCTGGCACTACTGTATAGTAAGATAAACTTACCTAGTTTCTGCAATGTTGGTCGGACCTTGCACTTGGGAAAGGTCTGGTACCACGGGCGCAGCTTGCACCGTACAGTTTGTGGGTAGTAACCAGGTTTCGGAAACCTTGTGGGGAAGTTGGAGCTGAGCTCTCATCGGCTCGGTTACTTCAAAACTCAGAATCATCTAATGTTGATCCGATGTTGACAGAAACTTTCAACTGGATGCATGGGACGGGGAATGTACAAGCAATATGCAAGCGGGGAAGCTTCCCCAAAGTGAGCAACAGCAGAAGAATGTTTCAAACTGGGGGTTGGAACATGGCAGTGAAGGAACCGTCATGGTGATGGCAGGCCAGCAGCACAAATGCCAGGACAATGGGACCCAGCATTAGAAGTTCATCTTGAAGTACAGAAGTACAAGTTTGAGGGTACTGATGCTGGCATTTCTGGGTTGCCAAATCACATGGTTCACATAGATATTGCCTTGGTTATAGAAGCACCATTTCCTGTTAGAAGAAGAAGAAGCCCATCGCAAACGTGTTATTTGTCATGCAATACTTGGAGTCTTCTAATTGCGATCACTGTGAGTTGCAGTGCATTTTAACTGTTCCACATCATCAAATCTTAGTTGGGGCGTTTCTTCTTTCTCTTGGAACTTTCGGTCTTGTAGAGTAAACTTTGTATTTTATATCCGAAAAAAAAGGAGAGGATGATCATTGATTGTTCTATTATTATTATTTTTGAATTCTGTTCAGGGAGCAGAGTGTGGAATTTTTAAGATCACTATTGAGAACAAATTGACAAACAGGGGATGATAATTGAGTGCTGATGATCATTCCTGAGATTTTCGTGATCGAGCATGTTTTCAACCTAGCATTGCTGCACCGACTTTCACTGTTCCCACAGCATTCCGTGGGAACAATCTGTACTTTTTAAATACCAAGAGAATGAGTAAAACGGTGAATTGCCAATTGCTTATAGGCTGTCTGAAGTGGCCGCAGAAAAAGCCTGCCTGATCTTGTCACTGCAGCTTCCATATTGAGGCACTATGCAATCTAAGTCCATGCGGGAAGGTATCTGCGGTGGCTCTCCCCACGCAGATGCAGAGTTGGGTAGTTGGGCATTTGTCAGAATTAACGTAATCAATGCTTACAAATCCCTTTTGCAGACGAAGTACCTGGACTAAATCCTGACATCGACAAGTTACAAGAGTATGTGACCTTCTCATATTTCTTTCTCACAGTATATGAATTTTTAAATATAAAATCAGAATAAAAAGTTGGTGATGTATGACTACTTTGGTTCTTGTCATTAATAGTTACTGCATAATACACCATGCAATCAAAGTGCCTTTGAAAGTGACAATGTAAATCCCTTTGAAGTGTAGCTGATGGAAATCTTCACTACAGTGTTCATTGCCACAGTTTTTGGCACTACTTCCAAGTGTGTAGAACCATGTTTATGATTTGCGTACTCTCTTACAGACTTGAAACTTGTCAAGGCAAGGAAGAACCCCCCCATAAAATCTGGTTCTTCTTAGGGCTCTGGATGGAAGAAGTCAAATTAGGTGAGTGATGGTAGGTAAGGAGTCATAAGATTTAATTAGGTGAGTGCTTGTACGACCTATTCAATTGAACTTCAAAACTGGAATTTAGACCCCTAAAAAATGAGTACGCATCAGTTAGATTCGCCTTGTCAGCCAACTTTTCGAAAAACTAACCAGCGATACACCTGTAGGTTACTCGAGATTCACAATCATTTTGTGCAATCGCAAATCAAACGAAGTATCCTCGACATGGTGCGAGGCAAAGAAGGTTATGATACAACTGAAGTCTACGTGGCATCAAATTGATTCCCAAATTCAATCCTTCCAATTTGGCTCTCTGGCATTGAAGAAATTATAGTTGATCAAGGGTACGAGAAGGCAAATCGCTCGAGGACACCTTAAATACTTCCAATTATGTCCTTTTCTTTCATTTCCACCTTCTCACAGCAAATAAATGAATGAATAAAACCAAGGTCGAAATTCTTGTTCTTTACGACCTACCCAATACCCCAATTTAAAAACCCACTGATAAATGACGTATTGATCTTTACTGAAATACGTCACGAATGGTCATCAACGCTGGAGCGCGTTGTAGGGTGAGCATCCTAATGTACAGCATTTCTGCAGCATTGTTTACGTCTTATGAATCTAAAAGAACCTTCTGTTCAGGATCACCACATAGAGAAAAGTACTATAACAGCCATCTGAAAGAATGGCCGATCAAAATTAGACAAGAACCTGAAAGCTCATATGTTTTGAAGCTGGCTATACTCTTCATTCACACATATATGAAATATCACGAGGCAAGATGGATAAATGTCGAGCCCCAGCCCATTTCTATTCTAATGCTTAGCCAAGTGCGAACAGTGACACCAGTGAGTACAGATCTTTCACCTAACATTTCCAATGCAGAGAAAATTCATCTCCTAGATCAAGTTGGACCGAACCTCTGGACCATCTAATACAACTGGCAAAACTCTGCCAACAAAAATTACATTGAAGGTAGTCTAAAAAAGACTCCTCAGAAGTTTAAAAGTCAAGGAAAGCTATCAAATACATCTTGCTACTGCTACCTTATGTACAGCAATGGCAGGATCGAGTCTACACACTGTTCTGCACCAACATCGTATTCCGTCACACCAAGCTCCCACCCCGAGCGACCGAATTCAGTCAATGATTCTAGCCACTGCATTACAAAGGTTGTCTGAACATTAGGATTTCCTCGTGACAGCTAGTCAGGCTCCGACTTATCACAGAACCTGGGCAATAGGCTTAGAAGTTACATCAACTAAGAAAAATAATTAAAACCATGTATCCATTACCAACAACATACAATGATTATGACTTGTACCTCTTCGTGCCACCACCGTAGGCAATGGACGTAGAGACAACTTGGGCTGCGTAGGTGGATCAGGAGAAAACCCAGCACCGGGCAGCATCAGTAAATTCGACCATTCTTGACCCCACATGTCTCGGAGGATATACATTCAACGCAATTGATCAACGTGCAATGGTACTCTAACCTAGTTTAACTTCATACCTTCCACACTCTTGCCGATATTTCACAAAAAGTCAGATCAGCCAAAGTAAAGAACTTCCACTTGAGAGCCAAAACTTCATTACACAGGTACCCCATCCGCTTCAGAAGGTTCTTCACTTCTCAAAATAATACCCTCCAGGGTGCCTGGCAATATGAATTTGGACCATTGGCAACCCGTTGACACAGGCTCGGGAGGTGGCACTAACATTAAAATATTTTCGTGCCTTTGAACGACACCCATCACCGTCACTGTGCTTCCTTCCTTCACGTAACTGTAAGATCAAAAGTTTGCACATTATTGGCAATTTATCCAACATTTTCTGTCTGTCAACAGATGCGGAAGTCATTTCAGCAGGTAGCAAAGAGACTGGATGCAGAAGCAGAGCCTGAAAGTAAAGTAAAATAAAATAAGCACTAATTGTGAAGAGATATACTAAAATATCCATCAATAACCTGAAAAGCACTTCACAATTACTCAGCTGGAGCAACATACGGTTGTCCCACAAGCAAACAATGAACTTTCAATGCTTGACATAAGCCATCTTTGGCAGAATCCAAGTCAAAAACAGTCGTCGCTACCCTTCTTTTAGTCGCATCACACGATCGTCGGCAGAGAGGTTTCGTTCAGTCAACCACCGCAAAAAATCAGTTGGAATATCCTTCTGAGTCGGAAGGAGATCCACAATAGAACTTTCCTCGACACAAGGAGTCACCCGAGCTCCATAGCCAGCTTTCACCAAGGCTCTAAGACCTGTCTGAAAATCGGAAATGTAGAAATCCACGACATATCTCTGAAAACAAAACGTTTTGGCATTAAATGAACGACAGCTAACTGGAAGAATTACAATTGTTGAGGGCCGATTTCCTCACAAAAAGACATTAGACTGCTATGGCGGGCGTTCCAACTGCTTTACTCTTTCATTCACATCCACATATGGTGCAAATTGCAGGATTAAGCAATTGACTCTTCAACAATTGTAGAATAACTCAGCTTTATTCAAAGCTCGATAAATAAAAACATATCCAGTACTTTAAACATCCAAATGACATACCTCGCCATGCCGCAGTCCCCAAGTAAACCGCCGATGTTTCTCACTAGCTTTCTTCGAAGAATAATGTCGATACTCATAGAGACCCGTGGATGTATATACACAACGGGATACCCTTTGATAAGATGACTCCAGCGGAACACTCCCGCAGGTCACAACCTGCCACTCTCGCAACAATCAATCAAAATTTTCTCGACCTCTTATTTTTAAGTCTGCTTACAAAATCTTGATCAGCATATTTCATTTAACTCAAAGAAGAATTCGTTTCATGAGCATTAGGGCGACCACCTGCACAGATTAGACCGCTAATCTGCAATGCAGTGAGCTGATAGACAAAATAAATTCAAAATTCAAAATTCAAAATTCAAAAAAAAATCGAACACTTAGCTATAGTGTTCAATTCTGTCCTACACTTCCACTGGGCATAAAAAATCGACAGTCCGCACACAATCAAAAATACTCTATCCTAGAACTACTATGACGTCATGTCACTTCGAAAAGAACAGGGTGCACTCGTCTATGAAGAGTGCGACTTAAGCACATCCCCAAACTGGAACAACAACAATAAGCACCAAAGGACGACTCTGAAATACTTTCTTTCGCAAAATTCAACTAATGTCAGGGAGCTCAGGGCCTCAGGAATTGGCTATGTATTCAAGAAAAAGAACATGCACGAGAAAAACTTCTCTCTCTTAAACTTGCTACAGACTGGAATATGTACAATGTATGAAAGAAGTGGATGAACGTTGACTGAGTACAAAAAGCTCACCCCTGTGATCTTCACCAGTTGACCATCTTTAGCTGTAGAAAGATCGGAGTGAGGATATTTGGCCAAGAATCCGAAAATGGCCTGCTTGCCCCAAAAAGTGTTCCATGCAAGCAGGACCACCACTACACCGAACAGCGCTGCCACTACAAAGAGAAGAATAGCATTCTTGACTGCAGCAAAGATGAATGCTCCCGCAATGAAACCAATGACAAATAGGGGTATAAGTGTATATATTATCATTCGTGGGAAGTTCTTCGGAAACGAATACTCATGGGCGTTGTTTAAGCTGTTGATAGCAAGAGAGTTGCAGCTAGGACGGCCACTTTCCCCAACCTTTACTGAGCCACTCCCTGCTACTAAAATCGATGCAGAAGAATCTTGCGGCCCAGACAAGGAACCTTTCCGCGGTGCTCCCGTGGACGTCAACGGGCCAGACGTTATAATGGGACCAGAAGTAATGAGGCCCGTAGCTGGAAGCACTGGTGTCTGCTGCTGCGGCCCCGAGGCCCTAAGAGAATTCGATGCTGACAATGGGCCTGATGCCGGTTTCGTCCCAGTTCCACCGCCCTTAACACTCAACTCTGCGCTGCGCCCCAGCGGTCCGGAGTGAGAACCTCCAGTGCTACTATGACTGTGCTGCTGTGCTTGAGTAGCAGCCGCTGAAAATGGACCCGAGAACGTGCCAGCAGATTTCCCTGGAACCCAGGGTGCAGGCGCGCCGGATGAGTTTAAAGGACCCGACGCTGAGAATGCATTGCGACCGGTCCCATTTCCAGAAAGCGGTCCAGAATGAGACGATGACGCACCACCGGGGTTGGACGACCGCTGCGATGAGGAGCCCGTGAGCAGACCACCCGACCTCCGGCCCCCGGATTTGGCCGACGCATTCGATTCCACAGGAATGTTCAGCATTTTCCCCAGCTCCCCTGACTTCTTGATGTCCCCGCCCGTGTAGGGCATCTGCGGCACACTCATGATCGTCCCCTTGTCCCTGCCCCGATCCGGCTGCCCCGACACGAACAGTCCATTGCTAAGCTGGTGAGCAGACACTCCTTTGCTCCCCCTAACCCCGGTCGGATTATTATTTAGGGCCCCCATGGCCACCCGCACCACCGCTTCGTCTCTCTCACTGTCTCGCTCTCTCTCTCTCTCGCTCTCGCTCTGATTCAACCCTCTCACGGAGACTACCAAAACGATAATGCAGGTTCTCTAGCACGCGCAATGTCATGTCATTACCCTTCACACAGACTGTGCAGCACTCCTACCCGCCTTCACGCACACCACAACCCGCAGAAGACGACGACGACGAAGACGAAGAAGAAGAAGAAGTAGCCATGGCTACTGCAGCATTCCCTCCCCTCACCTCACCTCACCTCGCCTCACTCCGCCCCCAGTCAGCCATGGCGAACTCAGACAGGTAGGTAACGAAAGAGAGCAAGCAAACAAAAACAGAAAACTCACAGAGCCAGTCCCAGAACACACGTTCTCCTCTGCTCTCTCACTCTCTCTCACTCTAGCGATGCCGCTGCGTAGCCCTGCCCCGCTCTGCTGTGCTCTGCACTGCACTGCTCTGCCTCCTAATGTACCAGAACAAAGAATGAAACTACTCACATCAATTCTCCAGCTAGCATCCCTCCCCCCCTCCGTGTGAACAGGACCTAACTCCGCCTCCTCTTCTTGTGTTCTTGTGTAAATTTCAGGAGCCACTTCCCCTTGGTTTTCGGAATGTGAGTTGTTGATGGTGTTAGCTTGGGCTTTGAAATTGTGAAAACCATGTATTTTAGAGAAAAACAGCTACTATTACGAACAATCTGGGAGAATTGCGTGCTTGTAGGAATTGTTATTGAAATGATTGATGTACCCAAAACAAAATGGAATATGTATTTGTGTATGTGATACTCAGTTTTCCCATAATTTCTTTTTTAAGACTTCAGATATATTGATATTTTGTTCCTTAAGGTGAAAGTTATTTGAGCTGGTTGTTTCAATAATGTTTAATCTAGTTGAAAATAGTAAGAAGTTTCATTGTGTTTAATGACTTTTGTCTTGTATTCATCTGCAATTACTTTGATCTTTGTAAATTTATATGTAATTTTTATTTTATTTTTAAAAATATCAATATACATACATACATACATGTGTATCTTTTTTTTTAATAAGTATAATAACACTTTTAATTTTTACTTATAGAGAAGTTAAAGGTTTTATCTCTAATATGTATTTTTAAATTATCTATGCCATTAGAGAATCAATCTATTGACTTATTTCTCTATGTTCAATTTAAGACTGTTTTTTATATTAAAATCTTTGTTAATAAAATTAATTACATCATGTAATGGAAGATTAGTTATGTATAGGCTTCTTAAGGTTGGAAATTTTTATTTTTAGATGTCTAATTTGCCTAATCTAATTTGACAAAGATGCCTAATGTGACTCCAATATTCAAGAGTAGTAACATTCACTCTGCTTGTCTAACTTTATTCACTATACTTATCTAACTTTATGTACTTTGATTGTCTAACTTTACTTTAACGCATCGACATGAGTTAAAATTACACAAAAAATACTTTAAAATATTGTGGCTTCTTATACTACATCTTTGAATCCAAATTTAAACCTTTGAAGGAATTTGGCCTTCATATTGTCAATGGGATGGTCTTCACATGCATTGTTGTCAATTGCCATTTTTGCATTGTACATGGCAAAGATAGAAAGATTAGAAGCAAGCTTTTGTTGATTAAGACTATAAAGCAATTCCAACCACTATTCCATTATGAAAACTTTTATATACATTTAGAAGATTGTGATCCTATCAAATAAGGAGAATATTTCTAGATCTTACTAAAAAATAAGGAAATATTTTTTTCTGAGGGTTGTATTATTTGTCAACATGCTACATTCTTATGTGGAACTTGCTTCAATATCATCACATTCACATTTGAAACCTTGCTAATCGACATTGTCATTGGCAAAATTATATGGCACATAGACAATATAGATGGCATCACACAAGATAAGGCATTGGCTTTGTTCACAACATGTATCATTGGATTATGATGCTAAGAGGCTGTTTCTTTTCCAATTCTATATTTCTTAATAATTTCATTCATGGATCTAGAAATAAGCATAGCTTAAGCTTAAAATACAATACAAGAAACAAAGAAAGAGACCAAACTTAGTCTATTGAGTTTCTATTATGAACATACCTATGTTTACTTAGATAATATAAATATGTAGAAGTAGATAAAAGTAGATTAATTTGATAATATCTTATAGAAAAGTTTCTTAGAAGCTTCATAGATATAATTTCATCTTTATACATGTCTATAAGTGATTGATAGGTTAGAAACTTGGTTAACAAATTAGCCATGTATCACATGTATTGATAGCTTGTGATACAAGTTAATAATATGGCGTACTTATAAGAAACTTATCTTACAAGTTAAGACATGTGTCTTGCAAATTGGACATGAATTGGAAGTCATATAGAATGTTGCCACATAGTTCTTAAGTAAATAGTATATATAGAGGCAAGAATGAAGCCTTTTTTCACTCTTCTCAACTCCTTTTTTGCTTCTAGTTTAGTTTCAAGAGTCTTTAGTTTTTTAGCCTTTAGCAATAGCTATTCTAATTTCTTATTAAATATATTTATTTTTATATTTTTAGTTTTTCATCTCTTTTTGATTCATTTTTTAATTGTTTATGTATCTTCTTGAATTCTTGTCTTTGACACATTGATAAGAATACTAAATCATTATTCTTCCTTGTTTTTTTAGAATTAAGGTAATTCTATTGTTATATTTTGAAGGTTATCGATTATTCATTTCAAATTAATATATATTTTTTAAGAATTTATTTTTTTCTTAAAAATAGTGGATTACCTCTCTTTGTAAAAATTCTCATTTGATATTAGAGGTTGTAGATCACCTTCCTTTAATTTGACTTATAGATTTATTAAATTGTTTGAAATAAAAGAAAAATCATGGATGTTATATTTGATAGAAGTAAGAATAGATCTGCGACTATTGCAAATCCTTATGAGCTTGTCTATATTCTTAGAGTAGAAATTTCATACATTATTAATGCCAACCATAGAAACACTATTCGTATGTATATGAAAGAAGTTTAAGGTTTACGCCAAGAAGTTCTACAATTAAAGGAAGCAAGTAGATTGACCTTATAGCCAAATCTAGGAAGTCTTGCTTGTAGAAGCATAAGAGAGGCAGTGATTAGTATGTCTAAGAAGTTTGATGGAATAAGATCAAAATTTCAAGGATTTTTGCAACAAATCAAGTTCTATCTAAGATTGCATACATTTCAATACTTTAATGGATTTACTCAAGTTGGATTCATAAATACACTTCTATCTAAAAGTATAAACTTTTGATTTGTATCTTTGATGGAAAAGAATTCATGGTTCTTTTGTAATTTGAATTCATTCTTAGAAGTATTTATGGCCATATTTAGAAAAAATGATTAAAAAAGAGTAGTAGAGACCAAATTTTCATGTTTACAATAAATATCTCTATCAGCTATCATATATGCTGTTAAATTCCAAAACCTTATTTGTGATATGGATTGGAATAATAAAGTACTTAATAATCAATTTCAATATAGATTAAAGAACAATGTCAAAGATTTGTTGCTGACAATGCCAAAAGTAAATTCTTTGGAATAATTTAATGCTTAAGCAATTGCACGCAATAATTATTTATCTGAAAGGTAATAAGAATAAAGATTTGGCAAGAAAAGAACAAATTGAGTAATAATGGCAGCTCCTATGTTTTCAAAAACTTATTCATCAAGAATAAAATCAATGTAAATTGATACAATACATTTTAAATATTCCACTAATGAAAAAAAAATTTGATATTGTTAAGAAGGTTTGTACCTATATTGTGGAGAAGCTAAGTATATTGCTTAACATTATTCAAAGAAACAATGCAATCACAAAATGAGGAATGTGGTTGCTAGAAAAGAGAATGTATTAAAAACAAGTTTTTCTAACTGCAATAGGAATCATGTAACTAAAATCATGTTCAACATCTAATAAAGGTTATATTCTTTCTTCAAATCCTTCACTTTGTTTTATAATATATCAATATTTAAGACCTAAAAATCACAAAATCTTACTTTATTAGATTTAAGAGTCTAATTTTTTTTATATAGACAAAGACTTTGTTAAAAAATAAAAAATATATTCAATTAAAAAAGCTAAACTCATATACATAGAAGTCATAGATAGTTGTTTGTTATCTTTTGGAGATGTTATCCATAAGACTATTCGTATCAATATAGCAATTAAAGATTATAATAGTATAATAATATGTAATGTAATAAGATCTCTTTCAAATTTAATTATTTTAGAATTATCATAATTAAAAAAGTATAATCCTTAAATAGATTGAATTTATTATAATCTTAATTTTTTTTGTGATTTAATTCAATTTTTAAAAATTAAATAGAAATATTTAAGTCTTGTATATTCAAATTCCTATTAATAAATGTAAGAGCTTTTATGCATGTGAAAAAAAAGAGTCATCTTTTGATATATATGCCACATCCATTTTTGATAGTAAAAAGATGTTAAATGGTATTTTTAGCCAATATCAAGATTTCTAGGATGTTTTTGAAAAAAAAATATATATATATTCTTATAGAGCATCAATCTTATGATTGTTTAATTGATCTTTAAGAATAAGCTCAAAAACCATTTGGACTAATTTATAACTTATTACATGATGGATTTTTTGCATTAAAGAAATAAATTGATAAAAACTTAGCTCAGAACTTCAAATGCCATTCAAAATCTCTATCAAGAGCTACTATCTTATTTATAAAGAAAAAATATAGATCTCTATAGATGTGCATAGATTATTAAAGACTTAACAATATTAACATCAAGAATAAATATCTTTTACTTTTAATTTCAAGACTTTTTGATAATTCAATTAAGCAAAGATCTATACAAAAAATAAATCTACAAAGAGCATACAATCTAGTCTATATTAAAGAAGGAGATGAATGAAAGACTACTTTTTGAATTAGATATGCGCGTTTTGAATACAATGTCATGTCTTTTGAACTTATAAATGCATCAATCACTTTTCAATATTTTATAAATGGTATTTTTTGTAAGTTCTTTGATGATTTTATTGTCTCATATTTAAAAAACATTCTAATCTACTCTAAGAATATAAAAGAACATGAACTTCATATTTATTATATATTACAAAAATTTAGAGATGCAAGATTAAATGCCAAGATAAAAAGTGTAAATTCCACACTATTCAAATTGATTCCTTAAGATATATCATTTCAAACAAAAGCCTTATGATAGATCCCAAGAAGGTCCAAACTATCATGAATTGAAAGATTCAAAGAATAGTAAGAAATGTGTATTACTTTTTAAACTTTACTAATTACTGTCAGATCTTTATCAAGATTTTTTTCAAGTTGTAGCTTCACTTATATTTTTGACTTATAAAGACAAACTTAAATAGAATAAAGAAGCTAAAACATTGTTTGATTCTTTAAAAAAAAAAAATTACACAAATCTTATATTGTGTCAATTTTTTTGAGGTATT